ATCGGAATGTGCTTGTTTTGGCCACCGCTTTTCCAGACGGCTCAAACTTGTAAACAATGTAGCTCAGTCATTTCTCCACCGATTTACATGACGAAAAGTGCACTGGAATGGCATAGATGATCTCTATAAAGTTGTGTAAGAATAAACAGTGTATTTTACTCTGGTGGCTATGCAACACCTATTAGCCCAATGTTGCCTCTCGAGCTATAGAGCTTCACAATGGATAGGATTTGGGCTTAGGTTTGCAGTAGTGTTGCCGAAGTCCGGTTTGGTTCCGGTCAAACCAGAAACCAAACCGAAAAATAAACCACGGTTTTCAGACTGTCAGGAACCGGTTACAAACGGTTAAACCATAGTTAAACTGATGGTTTGACCACCCAAACATCCAAGTGAGTTTATGCTTGTCCGATTCACTTTGGACCATCAAATTCTTCTATAAACATATGAGCAATATGTCTACTACCTATAAGTTGTATAAAAACACTGTAGGTAGTCTCTAGAATGCAAATAGATATTTTGCAGCATGTGTTACATGTCACACACAGCTGATTGTGACTTGCTTGTGACAGTAATGCAGATAAAAGTTAACACAAAGATATCACCTTCAATGCAAAGATGTTTGTTAAAAGTCATCTTCGAATTACACTCGAGGCTTCCGTAAGTAGGTTTGTAATTTTTCAGAGTGAAAATCTTAGTATTGCTAATGCAACAATACTTTTGCATATATGTATGTCTAAATATGGGTAAACAAAGTGGTTCTATTTGGTTTAACCAGTCACAAACGGTCTGGTCTGGTAAATTGAAGGAAAACCAGTGGAACCAGACCGGAACCGGACCAAATCGGACTTCGGCAACACTAGTTTGCAGAGACAAAATGACCGATTAGTATGTGGCTTAAATCCTACGGGTCCAGAATTTTAATTACTATCCCTTAACCATGTTAAAGTACCCATTCCTAAGGGCTATCTCGACATAAGGGCCACAAATAAAATTTATGGACCTGTAGATCGATTGGAATTTAAATTTTAAGTAAAATCCGTCTGCAAATCATGTTCATACATGCTGTTGTTGAAAAGTTATATTCCAATCTCTTCAGACTGCCTGAGTTGGCAGGGAAAACAGACTGATTTCGCATTTTTGGAGCAATAAATGCAATTGCTACATGGAAAACTCTCTCAATGGATTCATTCACTTAATTCAGTCAAACCCATTGCAAAAAATATATTGAATTGGTGTTGTAGAGAGTACAAGGTCAATGTCTCAAGAAATTGGGCCTGTGATGCTCTGTCACAGCATGTCACTGGTCGTCACACATACCAAGGATTGTGCACCACCATTTGTATACTTACACCCGCCGTACAATACCAAGTTCCCTTTGTCTTGCTTCGACAAAAACGTACTACAAAACCTTGCAATAAGCTCTTGCATTTCTTCAAAGCACGAGCGTAAAGGTAAGTATGGTCATAACGAATATTAAAGGACAATAGGAATTATAGAGTTCAAAATTTTGCATTACGTGGTCACCTAGTAGTACGCGAGCAACCAATTCAAGAACACATTCAACGCAATGAAGCTGCAGCCGACCCAAACGGCAACACCCCGTTGCCCCGCTCCGGATCAGACATCCTTAACACACGCACAGTAGGTCCAAGGTGGATGTTGGTCATGTCTTGAGGCGTGATGAGGATGTACTGTTTCTTGTCGGAAGAGTTCGCGGTGTCGATCTACATAAATACCAACCACATTAGCCACAAAACACTGGAAAAGAAGAAAGGTCAGCGTACCATCATCTTCATACTAATACGACGATTAACAGCATCCATGAACACGTCAAACTCATCTACAAACCACATCAACAACGTCTTCAACTCTGAACTCTGAAAGAAATCTTACCCAAACACCGCAAAGGACATCCAATCGACTCCCAAAGCGACAACAAGCAAATCGTCGAAAATGACTTTTCACCACCCCCAACGAGCGCGGATCTTTATCCTTCGATCCTTGCGTCAACGTCTGGTCATCCGTTTGTACCTACGCTCACCAGCACCATCAGTACCCCAGATTTCCCCATAGAGGAGGCGACGTACCCGCAACATCAAAGTTCGCGCATCATGGTTAAACAACACCTTTCCATAATACCCTCTCTGCGAAAGATGGAACGCAAACACAAGTTTACACCTCAGCGCGATGTGCCTTCGGAACTCCTGCCACTTGCCCAGGCGGGTGATCAGAGAAGCTTTGAGCACCTTGTTGAGCTGTGCCAGCTTGAGCGCCTTGTCCGCAGTTTCGAGTTGTTCTCTGGTCTTGTTGACTTCTTTAGCCATCTCTTCGACCGAGGCACCGTGTCTATTAAAGCTCATCAGATAAACCGACGATGGTAGAACCTACGAAGCTCACCTCCTCTCACGCTCCTTCAGAGCAGCTTGAACAGACTCATAAAGCCTCTGAACCTCCGCCTGCGGACGAGGATTCTCCACACGCTCACAGTACTCTGCCGCTTTCGCAGTCCAGTTCTACATGCCCAAGTAACACCAAGTCAGCGTCCATCAACCCAAAAGGTGTGTCCGAAGAGACCAACCTGGAACTCTTCCTGAAGAACCGCCGCGACCTCCTCAATAGCTGCAACTTTTTTCTTTTTTCCTCTGCCAACTTTGTCTCGTAATGAATCTTGTTATTCTGGGCCTTCAACCGCACCTCGACCGCGTTTTCCGTTCTCGTCTACAAGTCATGTTCAGCACGTCTACCCCCGCGGGAAAGACAGGGAAGGCTCCCTCACCTGAGCATCGTTCCTCTTCTGCTGGAAACTCGCAATCTTCTCCTTGACCTCATTCAACGTAGTCTGCAGGTCCTTCTGCACTTCGTCCACTTCGTTCTTTCGAGCCATGACGTCCGTAAACTGGGCTTTGATATAGTTCTTCTCTTCTTCCGCTTCCTACGTGGACACCTCAGAATCAGCCAACGTTTCCCTGTTTAGATCATTGAAACGACGAACTCATAGCCCACCATGCCAACTGGTAAATCATCGTTGGGCTCCTGCGGGAGGCTATGCAACTTTGATTTGGCAATGCGTACTTCCCCATTCGCGCGCTGTTCCTCCCCCTACGAGACCCTATTACCAGTCTACGCCCGGATAAAGGGGGGAAAAAAGGAGAGGGAAACACACCCCAACCCTATCAATCACCTTCCTCTTCTCCGAGTACATCTGCTTGAAACGATCATAGTCTTGCTGAACACCAGCGAGCTCTCGTAAGTGTTGTTCTTTCTGGTCATTTTAATGCCTTGTACACCGCTATCAGCCCAAGCCAACTTGACACAAGGGACAGAACGACCCACCAAATTTCAGAAACAGTATCCCGTCCAGTCAACAAAAGATTCATAGCACCTTGCAATCCTCTCATATTCAACGGCGAACTAGCCACGCCTCCTTCCCTGTTCTCTCCATGATTAGTACACATTGCAAGCAAAGCACGTAGAAGGAAAGAAAGGAACACGCCAAAAGAAAGAAAGTACACCTCACATACACACGGCATGAAGACAACACCCCAAAGAGAACGTAACACCCTCTCCCCCCAAAAAAACAAAAAAGACAGAAAAAAGGGAGAGATACCCACCTGAACACACGAACATTAAACCCATCAGCAGACCAAGCCGTACCGCCCCTCCCTAGACTCATCAAAGCCTGCTGTGCCTCCTTGCAAACACGCAACCGCCCAAAAGAGCGCCAAAACCAAAAGCAACAAACCAAAAAAAACTCACTTCCCAAACTCCCCCAAAACCCTCTTAACCCCCCCCCCCGATCCCTCGCATCCGTAACAGCAAAAGCAGTCAAATAAACACCCAACTGGACCCTCAAAATCTCCCCCCACTTCTCCGGCTCCCTAGCCTTCACATGCACCCCAAGCGGCCCAATCGGTACGTCCCCATACCACTTCATCCCCTGTATCTTCTTCACCACCTCCTTGATGTTCTTACCGTACGGCATCAGGGCGTCAGCTTCGTTTTTACGCGCTTGCGATACCATGTTATCGCATTCTGTGATCTTTTGTTGGAGCTCGGTTAGGCGTGGTTCGAGTTGGACACCTGAGGTTTTGACGGTATCAGCTTCGACGGCTAGATCTTTCTTTTGCAGCATTAGTTCACGATGGCGTTCTTCAGCAGCGCCAACTTCCTCTCGGAGTTCCCTGCTCCTCAGCAACATCCAACGCTTTCTACAAAAACAAATCAGCTTCCACCCTCTTTCTTCAAATCAACGAAAGAAGAAAAAACCGACCTGCGCATCCTTAATACTCTCCTCAATCCTCGGCAACCTCCTACTCGCCTTTGCCACTTCCCCAATCTTACTCGTCATCTCATCCTCCTTCTTCTTAACATGCGACCAAGCCAACTCCTTCTTCAGATCATCCAACTTCTGCTTCTGCTCCCTAGCCTTGGCAGCTTCTTGGTACCTCGCCGAAGCCTCTGCAAACCGTGTCCGGAGGTCAAGTAGTGCTTCTTTGTTTTGGGCGAGGACTTTGGCGGTTTGTGTAATGTTTTCGAGGCAGGTGTCGTATTCGTCTGAGAGCCGGGAGAGTTGGGTGCCGCGGAGGAAGAACTGGGGGGGTTTGGTTGTTAGTGCTCATTCGGTCCAGTCACGTCAATAACTTACCTTGTATTTATCCTGAGGATGACTAGCGCTCAAGAACTGCCTCGCAGAATCTACATCGCCCGATCTCCATCAGCCTCCCTCCTCTCTTTAAAACACAGAAAGAAAGGAAAACCCACCCTGCGTCAACACATTCATCGGATTATCCACCTGGATATTCATATGATCGCAAATCGCAGCGAGCTCTTCCTTCTTCGTACTAATCACCTTTCCATCCTTACTCTTGATCTTCCAGGACGATCCGCCCTCTTTTGTGAACCTTCTCGTGATGACGATGGTCTTGCCGTACTCGGTGGTCTTGTACGCTTCTTCGCCTTGGTTTTTGAGGTGGATCGTTACTTCTGAGACGCTGCAGGAGTGTTAGTGTGGGGAAAAGAGGGCAGGGAGAGAGGAAGAACCTTTGGCCTTCGCGAATGAAGGACTTGATCCCGCTTCCTCGGCCGGTAGAGTTGGCTTTGCCGCCTAGAGCGACGGTGAGTGCGGATAAAGCTGCGCTTTTGCCACCTAAATTTAAACCAGATCAAGTATACGTCAGTATATGCTGCGTATATGCGGACGCAACGATGTGCTTACTCCCGTTATGCCCTACAACAAAAGTTGCCGGAATCAGTCTTTTTTTTCTTTAGCATGACATGAAAGAAAAGAACAAACCGGTGATAAAGTTGATCTGGGGACCGAAATGGAAGGTGAGGTACTTGTGGCACATGAACTGGCGCATTTCGATGTATTCGATTATACCGTACTCAGCGACCCCCTGGGCGTAAAATGTCAGCTCAACATTTAACATACAAAGGAAAGACAAAGAAAAAAAGGGGACTAACACCCTGAACATGCCGCTTCGACTCTAACCTCGCCCTAATCGTATCCCCATTCTTCGCTTCGAACTGTTCGTCGTCTTCTTCATCTTCATCTTCTCCTCTCCCGCCGGCTACGACCTTGTCGGACTCTTTGAAGTTCTTGTTCTTGTTCTTCATCATCAATATCCTCCTCTTCTCCATCTTCAGCAAGGGTAAGGTCAGCGTCGACATCTATGGCGCGCTGTTTCCCCTTCCCAGCCCGACGAACACGCGTCTGAGTCTGGGTGGTACATCTCATAAGTAACGTCGGGGCTCGTGAAGGGTATCATCTAGACCTGTGACTAGTCCCTCTATGAAGCAAGAGCTACAGGGGAATCCCGTCACCAGTCCAGGTAACATCAGTATACAGCGTAGCAGTCGCAGATCCGTAGGAGTCGGAGATGATTGCTGCATGCTGGGTATGCACACAGCGATTGTAGATAGTTCGTTGATCCATCCATAGCAATCGACGCGTGTCGCATCATAAAAGTCGTAAGTAGTTTGAAGGCACAACTGGACAAAAGATGAGCACGTCAACGAACAAAGGGAAAGGGGCAAGAACTTACTCCCTTTCCGCCCATCATCCATCTCCGCCTCCCACCATTTCCCGGACTCGTCAATGATATTAAGGATCTCGCCCCTCCCGAACGAAAGTTCGTTTGGATCTTTGGGGCTCGCGGTATCTGGGGGCAACGTCAGTCATCATCCATCCATCCACCCCGCAAAAAAAAAAAACGAACAAGGAAACATAGCCTCCGCACGATAAACAGGTGTCGGCTCCTTTTCCCCCTTCGCACTCTTTCGTCGACTCACATTCCCACCACCATCGCTCCCCGCAGCGCTCCTCCCGCCCACCCCGCTCGTAGGCGCCTTACTCCCCCTGTCCCCAGGTGTATACGTGCTCCACCCCCCCTGCGACCTTCTCTTCTCCTCACCAGGATCAACCTGCGACCGGCTCTGGTTCTGTCCCAACTCGATATCTTCTCCCTCCAACCGCTGCTGCTGCTGTTCAACCGTACCCCCGTTTCCTGTCTTTCCAAAGCCTGAGAAGGAGGGTTCTTTGGTGACGGGGATAGGGTCCGATAGGGTGCCGTGTGGCATTGGCAGTGGTGTCCCCAGACGACTGTGACTATGGCCAGAGAGCTGCGAAGGGGGCGCGGTGAAGTAGAGGATCCAAAGGATGTTGATGATAGCTGTGATAAGCCACCCCGCCGCGAGCGCTTGATGCGTTGGTTTGTGCGTGGGAGGCGTGAAGAGGTTGGTGTTCACGCCGATGGAGGCGAGCACCGTTGACATGGCTGCTAAGATGGATATTTGGAATGCATAGAGGTGGGTTGAGTGGGTGGGTAGGGTGACGAGGAGTTCGAGGATTATGATTGTTTGGAGGACGAAGGCGAGCCAGAGGACGCCGACGAGGGTGCTGCTGTTGGGTGCTGTTTGCGGGAGTAAGAAAGGAAGTCCAATGGGAGTGGCGAGAGGGCTTACTTGTTGCTGTTATTATGGCTTGGGAGGTTAGCGAAGTGACCCAAGCTATCTTGGGGTATAGTTAGATGAAAGAAAAATATCGCGATCAAAGGGTGTGCTTACCACGCTTATGACAAAGGTGAACAGAAGGAAATAGTTGGGCGCTGGTGAGCGTGTAGGAGGTGGGTGGTGTTCTGGGTGTTCTTGGTGTTGTACCACTTGTTCCTGTTGGTGGAAACTGAGGTCGGTGGCTGCTGGGACGGGCGAAGACGGGCCATGGTGGGTATCGGACATGGTGGATGGCATACTGGCGCCTCTTCTGCTTCTGTCAAAATGGCGGACGAAACGTTCTCGCGGTTCGCTCCCGTGAAAGGAACAGCCCCATCAGGGAATGCGTCCGAAAACATACTGACTTTCACACGTCGGAGGATTTGCATTATCAGATTGCTCAATGCTCATTAATAATTATATACTATCTCATATCCTATCTAAACCTCGTCCATAGGTACTGTGAATGTTGATGTTGATGCGTCCTGGTGAGGCGGACTGGGATAGTCTGAAGAAACCGTTTTCCATCTAAAGGAAGCACCAAATTGCTCCCCCAGCAGTTTCCTAGTGGTAAATGTTGATTCGAGACCACATGGGGCAAGTTCAATGTTGTTGGCGAAGGAGTGGTTGGTGCAGTCGGTTGTTATGGATGGGTCCGAGTCCGTCTCATGGAGTTCTGGGTCGGCCATTGGTTTTGAGGCTGATAGTTGATGCGCTGTCGTTGGTAGTAGCGATGTGTCCGTTTGGTATGCTGCTGGTATGGGTCAGTGTGTTGAAACCTGCGACTACGTTTCAACGCACCATCCGCCTTGTATGCCGCCGAAAGCCACCTGAACCAACTCGAGGCAAACACAGGCCCACCACAAACCTCTCCATGCGAAACGCTCCTTTCGTACTACGTTGAAGCCCATCCCTACCCAAAGTCTTTGCTCCTGGGAGATATAACAAGCACGGCGTATCGAGAATGGGCCAAATTCGTTGCTGGACTCGGAGGGGCAATTGGCAGCGGAGTTCCGGCTCATCGTCGTCTATCTGACACAGTACTAACTGCGAAAGGGATGACGAGAGCTAATTCGAGGAGGTAAAGTACTTACCTATCAAGGTCATCACAGCTCCATCACGAAAAAATTGATATGCCTGGGGGTTCGAAGGTCGAACAAGACCCAAAATTAAATGTGAACGTTGAGATTCCAGAGGCGGCGAGAGCGGGTGGTCCTACTAGGGTTATGACCTTGAAACTTGAAGATGGTCAGCATGGAACCGTTCCTTCCAAGTACTTTTCCGCAAAGATCAGGGGTATATCTGTATAGTAGATCGAAAGTCAGAAAGCAGGGTAGGGCTGGGGTAGGGCTGGGGTAGGGGGAACTCACCGAGACATTGTTGGACGTTTGGTTGAAGTTGAGGGAAGGTCAACCAACTGTCTCACGACATCGTTCATCACCTGGCTAAGACGTTCACGACGGAAGCACCCATCGTCTGGTGCTTCGCACCGTTTCTATGATGACCGGGCATTGCTGAGACATCTTTTCAACACTGAACACAATTCATGCAAGTCATGTTAACATTCTCATTTTGTTCGTTACAAGATTGACGTACCATTCTAGCATCCTTATTCCTCCCCGGAAACAGTACTGCTGCCTAAGCATTGGGTGATCCACCGACGATTATCCATGGCCATGGGTTGTCGATGTCCTTGAGCTTTCGTCTGCCACACGTCTCCCAGCATGATCAAAGCACGATACCTTCTTGCTGCATCTTAATCGTTCTGCCAGCAGTGGCGCAAATGTCACCGATTCAAAGTACAGGACGCTATCGAATGCGCATACGTCGACATGCTGACGCTTGTGATGGATCGATGAGCGACGGTAAGGAATGTTCTGCCATTCCAAATCCGCTCATTCACTAAGAACTCTTTTTGGTATCACAAGCCCAGGCCCTACGGGCACCCGTACCTCCTAGAAAATGTTCCCACCGTTACTCCAGGATCGACAGGTATGGATCATCCCCACTACTCGTCGCTCTCATCTGATGCTATTCGCAGCTACAGCGATGTACGGACATCTCGGGAACTGTGGACGGGATCCACTTCGCATTGTATGCGAATTTCACGTAGCGTCATCCGCAAACAATTTCCTGTCAATCGGCATTGCATTTTGACTCAAGATCTTGCACTTACATGTTGGACTCGGGTGCGTCGCCAATCATCTCAGCCTTCTCTGGGCTTCTGCAACTCGATTTGGCTATCCCGTCCAGCGCTGCAGAAGGAGTTCGCAATGGGTGCCAACGGATCCTCAAGGTTCGCAGCTGCTTGCAGGTAATTATGTAAGGAACACCATCAACACCATCATATCCTGCTCATGCTACATCGAATCTATATCCTACAGTCAATCAAAAGACGTCGACACCTCGCGTTTCCGTTGGCTTACACGGCAATGTATGCTAACAAAGCTAACGTGGATAGAATTTTTGGCGTCCATGATTGGCGGGTTTTAATACAGTGCGTTCATTTTCAAGTTTTTAGTTTCTTCTCTGTGTTTCTGCTTATGCTGGTCATAGTGACTCCCTCCACAATTCCGATGGCCGGCCCAAGGCAAGAGGTCGGAAAGAAGGCGACCACTGGACAGCTTGGGCCTTCGACCTCAAGTCCAAGCGCTCCATCTTCTACCTTCACATGTACGAGGATGGACGAGTGGCTAGATTCGGTGCGGATAAACGCAAGGCATTTCGAGTGAAGAAGTATGACCTTATATGGAGTGGAGAGGTAGACACTCTCCTGCATCATGTTATTCGAAACTTACCATCATCTTAGGTGACAGCGAAATAGACATACATACTAAGTACCTTGAGACTGGCTGAGTCAATAAATAAGCTGTTAGTGTATAATACTGTAGTGGAGTATAGATCTGGAACTAGCAAAGTGGAAAGGTAAAGAACACAAAGGGATGTTGGAGATCATTCAGGTTTGAATTTCACTTATGGCCCCTCTGGGACCCAATTTTCGTTGACTGACAGAACAGCATAGCCATATTTGCTGCAAATCTATTTGATAATGAGACCACTAGGTGTTACATCCTTCCAACAGATGGCAACCAAAGTGGACTTGATCAATATGACCTCAATTTATTAATCTAATGTTTTCCCAAAGATTGAAGCCCTCCATGGAACTGTTTAGTATTTTAGGTCAGAAGAGTCCCTTTCCCTGCAGCCAGTCTCAAGCACAGAATATTTGTTTGGGACATCACCCTTGGGACCCCAGCCACCTTTCATGGGGTTGGTGTCCATCTTAT